GTTTTGCGTAACAGGTCTATTTTTTTTTAGTTTATTACAAAACGACGTCGTTTTGTAATTGAGGCAAAAGTTGAAAGTTAAAAAAAAAAATCAATTGCCCTGGTCTTGGACCAAATAGAAGCAGACACTAACCCCTTCCACAGTTTTCTTCTTCAGGCGGACCCCACTCGCTGCCGGACGTGACTCGCCGTCGGACGTGGCTCGCCGCCGGAGTTGACCCTCCCTCTTGTCACTCACGCAGGGACGAAATTAAAAAAAAAAAGTATATTTGTATGGGATTCTTCGACATTATGTTAGTTCAATTAATTGTCATTTATACATTATTATGTAATTAGGTTTTCTTAATATTAAGATTTAATGAAATTTATTGGAATCTTTGTTGTGTGAAATTTCTGAAATTTGGTGTTGGTTGGTTGAAATAATGTTATTATAATGTGTAATTGCTTAAAACATAATAATGTAGACAATATGTTCTATGAAATACCAAAGAGAATAACTTAGTAGAAATTTGACACTTTAAATTCGAAAAAAGAAAAAAAAAAATAGTATAAATCTATGTTCATTGTATTCTTGGCTTCTTGTTTTGACATTGTAGTTAGTACAATATAACTAACTTGTTGTCATATGGTTGCTAATGTGGATTGCTAATTGCTATCATATTTTTAATTTACATTGAATATCAATATTAATATTGTTTGGATTTAAGTGTGTGGACATTTATTATAAATTGAAGTAGTTTCATTTTTTAGGTAGTGAAAATAAATCAAAAAAAATATTTAATATTAATTTCTAGTCCCCTCCTAGTCCCCGCTTAGGCGCTCTAGGGGCTAGGCGTTGGCCGAGCACCTAGCAGGCGCCTAGCGATTTATAGAACACTGATATAAGCTCAATGTTGAATTAAAGATCCAACAATCTCCCACTTGGACTATACGTGTAACTTTAAAATTATGTATTGTTAAATAATTATATGGTGTAAACGTTGTTGTCATAACCATAAGTATCTTTAACAAATTATGTCCATCAATCAAATCAACATAGATTCAAAATTGGCCTTTATTACATACATCGTAAATCGACCCATCAATAGTCATAATCATGTGAATACAAATAAATGACATGTGGGTTATGATATAGATGTGTAGCATGAAAATTATGTGAAATATGATCATAACAAAGTCTTTTCCAACTTGGTCCACCTTAAACCTTGGTGACATCTACCATATGCCATAATCAAAGTGTGAAATAACCGAAAGCTGAAATTTATCCAGAAATAGTCTCAAAATATCCATATAACTGAAGTAACTCATAATGTATCTATATCATATAAAAAACATTACAAACTCCCACTAAAATTGAATATTTATCAAAAGCATGACACCCATATGAGTTGTAAGCTCATGAAACATTTTGGGTGGCAACCCATTAGTAAGCAAATTGGCAATCATGGAGTTCGTACCAGTATGTTCAATAGACATTTGTCCACTTTGAACTATTTCCTTAACAACGAGGAACTTGATCTTGTGATAGTGGTGTTAGGAAAATCATACTCTCGTTTAAATGATAAGAAAAGGTCAAGTTTGGTAATAAAAATTATATCATTATTAAAATAAAGGATAAACTTATCAAACATGTTGCACTGTGTAATTTTTTCTTTACAAGAACTGAATTATATTGGACATTCTTATTTTGACCATCATTAAAATAGAAAAGATCCATAGTCTCTACACATTAAAGTCTCATACCTTATTTGTTAATATCCAATTTTGGCCTCGCCTATTAAAATATTACACGTGGATATGTATTATATGAATTGTTTTATTTTAGGGCCCACAAATAACACCGCTTGTAATAATATCGGGCCAACAAAAACATATATATATATATATATATATATGTATATCCCCGATGATGGACACAAACGGTTAAGTCTGAGGGGGCTTTTCTTAGTTTTTTCTTTTCTCCTCCTGCAAACAAGGCGGTGCCTTTTGGTTCTAACTTTTTCTTGTTTTCTTCTTTGAACATAAACATGAAAAAATATAGCAAATTCAATTTGAAAAATTTCTACACAAATTCAATGATATATAAACTATTCTCTAAATACCCCATGTTAGATACAAAATCGCATATCTAACATTATTGATAATTCAAAGTTCAATAACTTAAATCTTAGTTAATCACTTTTATTTGAATTTCTTTATTTGACAACCACAATCCTCCCTATATATAATTCCCGAATGCGCTGAGCCTACGTGGCTGCTTCTGGTGCTTCGGAATCCTACTTGGCGAAGAATCATGCTTCGTAATTAGGTTTAGACATATAATATTGATATATTAATAATTAATAATGACATTCCATAAATATTATTTATCTAACTTAGGTATTTTAATATCACTTGTACTAATATAACCCTTTAATTCTTTGTAATTATACATAGTGAGGCACTAAGTGACTAGTATATCCCCTGACTTTGATTTGTTTCCTTCAATTAGCTATTCAATTGTAAATGTATTTTAAAAGTTGATAACTTTTGTATTTCTTATCGGTTTTACATATATTATTTATCAAATTAATCATCTTTTGATGATCTTCGATTTGACATCCATATTGTACATATGAAATAAATAATTTACATTTATCTTTATAATAATAAAAAATAATAACATTTATTAAAATTCATTAGAAAAATAAAATTATTTATCAATTGATATATTTATGTTTAATGTAGTTATATGTTGTAAGTAAAAAAGTTGTTATAATATAACACAAGTAATTCGCACAAATAAAAAAGTGTCATACTAAATATATAATAATATATATTTTTGTAAAAGGTATTTAAATTTTCTACTATTTTTTCTCATTAATTTTAGATTTTAAGAAAAAAATTAGCAAGCACCCGTGTAATACACGGGTGTTGTACTAGTACAATAACTATTTCACATATAAGCCCTATATTGGATTAAAGATCCAACATGTTCTCCAACACATATTTGGTTTTAGCACATTTAGTCACCAAATGCTTGTTGAATTAAGTGTTGGAAAATCGATGGGAATCTTCAGGCTAAGTATCGAAGAAGAGTATCGATTAGGCTTAGTAAAAAGTTTTCTACTTGTAGACTGAAAATTTATACAAACTCAAACTTCTTTTAATGGCAAAAATTTCGAAGAGGTTGGAGGATCCAATTCTCTTATAATTCTACGTATGCTCCACAATATGTACTCATAATATGCTCTCAGTAATTTTTTATTTTTATTTATTTATTTATTTATTTTTTTTTGTTGTTGTTAAAAGAGAGACACTATATTC